CGTCGCCTTTCCCATGCCCTCTCAGACCCGCACCCATGCCACCACTCACGGCACCGTTCTATACTACCTGACTGACCGCACACCATAGAAAAAAAAAAAAAACCACACACAATTTAATTCAGTTAATCCCAGCTTACTCCCACCCCTCTCATACCCAGCTGTTTATGAGAACACCTCCTTCCTCTATTTAACCTGCCGCCTGCTCCTTTCCTATTACACCCACTACGTTCCATGTGTCGCCTCATCCTCCAACCATCTTCAATACTGCACATCCCCCCCACTCCCATAAAGAGCCTGACCTATCTCCAGGTCTCTCACACCTTTCATCTCGTCATATGACCCCCTCACCAATTCCTCGCTGTAGTCATTTAACCCGTTCTCCCCTGACTTCGAGCGTACACTGCGTTCTCCTTCTGTCGTGCTTCAACCCGTTCTGAATTCGAACTTGGAGCGATCTGTCAATTAGACTTGATTAGTGGCAACCTGTATTTAAGTTCATTAGAGGTTTTGTCTCAGTCTAATTTTCACTATTGAATAGGAAGTAAAACGATCTGTCATCGGATTCTGACTCACGCATTTTACTCTCTTGCATTCTGCTCTGTGACAGACTGTGCTCCTATCCATCATATTGTGAGATTATGAAAGATTAAGCAATTATCGTAGAATGGACAGTCACAGAACTGCAGTCCTAGAGATTCCTGCTTTATGTGGGAATGTACAGATAACAAATCCCTGATCAAAGCTAGACTTCACGATAGTGTGCGTACGAGCAAGGTGAATGCCATCTAAAATAACTGTGATCTTTAGAGAGTGAGTCTCTAAGCCGTGTCTTGGGAGCCAAGTAACAAGTAAATTTGGAATATTATATACTGAGTTTAAACTCAGACAAACTCTCTCGAAGAACAAGTCTCCCCAAATAACTGATACCCAGATTCTTATGATCTTAACTACAAATGTTTCGTATAACTTTATGATATCATTGGATTAATCTTCATCTCTTGATTAGACTAGAATAGTATTTATAAAATCGAAATCTATATAACAGTATTAATATATGCATAACGGTGAGTAGTGATTCCTAAATGTTGCTAAGGCTCAACTATACACAGAATTATATGAATTTTAGGTCCAAGTACAGAACCTTGTGGAACTCCATGACTAACTTGTAGTATTCTACTAGAATTTCATGCGTTAATCCCGCGCTGTTACAAACTGAGAACGACAGTCAATGATTAAACCAGCTTATGCGGTGCTCCTTACTAATTGCCAGACATTTGAATAATACAGCAACAATGGTTATTAAGTGATTAATAATTATACTGACCTTTATTAATTGCCTCTCTGATCATTTATTACGTATGTTCTCTGTAACTTGGGTATGTTAATACGAAGTCTTAAGTGCTGTCGTTTAGACACCGCATTGACCATCATGATTTATTACAGAACTTGAGCATCTAATTGGCATTACAAGGCATACAGTCCTGAGGACTCGGTTGAAGTTCTATTTCATCCAGATCGTTCTCAGTTTGTCACATGTAACGATGAAGCTCTCCTAAAGTAAATCACTGGAGTTCCACCAAGGTTCTGTGCTTGGATCAATTTCTCATTACGCTTTAATACACACCTTCCCGTTAGAGACACATCTGCTCAAATTGCTAATTCGATAAATATAACTCGTTGGTATCATCTACATAATTCACTGACCTCGCCATCCGGCGAAATAAACTGCACTTATACAGATCGACCATTATCGCATCATTAAAGGAGGCAGAGGAATAACTGAACATCTGGCACACTGAGCAGGACAGAGCAGCAGAGGGAGAAGCCATCGCTAACTGCTAATGCTAATGTAGCTAGTGTGTGAAAAACGTTGTAATTTTAGTGAAAAGTTGCTAAAGGACGAAGTCGCTCGGAGTGCTTAAATATAAGTTTAAATTTTAAGTGGTTTAATAACCGCTGTAACAAGTAAAACAGTAAGTTTTAGCGTTCACTGGACAGAGCTACAGCAGTACTGTACACAGGAGCAGGCAGTAACTAGAAATGACACAGTATGCTTACTGTTGCACGTCAGCACGTCAAACACTTAGTTTTAGTGTGCAAAAATTAGTCTACAACAAACAATATGTGTACTACAGAATTTTCTTTAATTAAACGATAGTATCAATCAGTCTGGCCTTCCATAAGGAGATTACACTGCTGCTGTGGGTGTCTTCTACCCTGAAAAGCTTAAAAGGAGCAGAAACAGAGTTTTGGTTCAGTTGCGATGGGCTAACTATGTCTCAGCAGACAGCAAGACAGCAGATGATTACACAAATTAACACAATGTCACAAACTTTGTTACATAGTTTATTAGCATTATTTTGACTTTAAAAAGGACACGGTTCATTTAGTAAAATTGTTGCTTTGAGAATGAATTTGTCTTACTACAATAACTTATGTTCATGTGTGCTTGATCTGTCAGCTTAACATTGTGACAAACGAGTACAGGTTTAAAACTTGTAATTTATAACAACTGTTTGGATAACAAAAGTAACATTATTGTTTCATGTGATCAGAGGATCATGATAAACTCTACACAGTTTTCATATTTCACACTTTCTGCCTACTTTGACACCGGGCTGTTACAATACTTATGTTTCCTGTGTGTTCTGTGTTTATATTTTTTTATTGTTCATTTGTGATATTCTGTATGAAACAGAAGGCTACATGAACCTATGTTACCCACATTTTCTGTGCGCCTGGTTGTAAAATGACGTATGTAAGTAACAGGGTTGTCACATGCTCTCGGTTCAGATTCTCTGACATTCACACTGTTTCTGTTTCATTTTGTTTCCTGCAGTGTACTCATATGCAGGTGTCGAATTTTTCAGCTTAGCTGCCATGTCTTTTGATAGATACCTTGCTATCTGTTGCCCTTTACAATATAACACACATATGACATCTAACAAAGTTTTCATTATAATTGCTCTCATATGGTTCCTCATATTTCTTGTAAATTTAGTTGGACTCTTTTTGATTGTTCCTTTACAGCTGTGTGGGAACATCATTAACAAAGTGTACTGTGATAACCACTCTATTGTGAAACTGGCCTGCTACGACACCACAGTCAATACTGTCTACGGACTGTTTGTTAGTGCCTTCTCAGTCTTTGGCCCTCTCATTTTAATTCTTTACACTTACATAAAAATTCTCAGTGTTTGTTTTTCTGGTTCTAAACAAAAAGCCATCAGTACCTGCACCCCTCACCTCGCTTCCCTGCTGAACTTTTCTTTTGGAGTTTGTTTTGAAATATTACAGAGCAGGTTTAATATGAACAGTGTTCCAAATGTGTTGCGCATTTTTTTGTCGTTATACTTTCTAACATGTCCACCGCTCTTCAACCCTGTAATGTATGGACTGAATCTGTCCAAAATCCGTGTAGCATGTAATAATCTGATTTCATATGTGCGTCATAACAGTCATGTAACAGATTAGCCTGTTGTCTTTAACCAGGCATACAGTATTTTATGCTTTTTTATTTTTAACTGTGCTTTATGTTATAATTTAAAAAATAAAACATATTTACTCATACGTTATTTTTCTACCTGTTTTGCTTTTTTAAGCACAGAGAATACTGACTATAAAACAGTTTTAGAAACAGTTGCCTTCACTATGTTGTTTTTTCAGATTTGCGTTCAATAGTAGAAGGAAATTCAATTGTAGTCTACAAAAAGCATGTTTAACATTTTACTGAGACAGATTTACTCATTGGAGTGGCAATGCTCCAGTAATTAGAATTACTGGCTGTTGACTTTGGTCCGAATTTCATAATTACAAATGATCCAATTGATAAAGGTCAAGACAGAGGTCAGATACCTTTTGTTGTTGTGCTCCAGTCTGAAAACAGATAGATGATGAAAACAATAATAATAATAATGATAATATCTATCTGTTATCCTGTGTTTTGTATTGTTTTCCAGTGTGTTTGGTGTTTCTCCTCAGAGTGGTACTGTGAGTTCAGGGTTGAAAACAAAATAAAGCGGCTGTGTTTGGTCCTTACAAAAGTATCCATGTCCCATTTATTATTTTCATATTAAACAACTAAGGTTGATTTTATGCCATTTTGAATTTTGTCAAATGTTAGTGCTGGGTTTACTCAGAAATTGGATCGAATAATGTACGCAGAAGTTATGACAAATCTCTCTTTCATGGTGAGTCGTTGTAATTCCATGCCACGGGCACACCGTTCGACGGAATGTCGTAAATAGCACAACTTTAATCGTGACTGTCTTTAGATGGCTGTGTCAAAATCTGAAGTTGAT